TGTGTGTGTGTGTGTGTGTGTGTGTGTGTGTGTGTGTGTGTGTGTGTTTTCACGAGCACACACACACATGCGCCTATGAGAGCACTGGAGAGTGTACTCAAACTGGAGGTGTGTGCTCAGGGTAGAAAGACCCAACCTGCTAGCCTTGGCCTTTAGCCCACCCAGAATACACACACACACACACAATGATGTCACCCTTAACTTCTTGACAAGGAGAAAGAGCTCTCAGGGAAAGAGTTGACTCTTTAAGCAGGTTAGGGGGAAGAGAGGCAAAGAGGCTTGGTCTCTGGGAAGCTCTCCAAGGTCCCACTGGCATTTATGCAAGGCAAATGATTCCATACATAACTGGAGAAGATTTGAGGAAGTGATGAAGAAAGTCCTAAGACACCAGGTAGTTCCTGGATTGAGAGGGACCCAGATGGTCAGTAAATGAAAGAGTCAGCATCAGGGAAGAAGCTGTACTACTCTTAGTCTCTTCTCTGCCCTTCAAGCAAACTAGGCACCAATTCCCTCAACATCTTTTCTCCTTGCTGGAGTCCTGATCAGAGCTAGACACTGGACCAAACTTACCCTCTTATACTCTAGTAAGATCAAAAACTTCCTTCCTGAAAGGTCAGGGAGGAATGTCCTATCTTCATCAAGATCTTTCAGGAGGGTTCATTCTGGAGTTCTGCCCCATCTCTTTCAATCAGGTGGGAAGTTTAATCATCAGCTAAACAAGGTTCACTTCACAAAGGCCACAATTCCAAAGAGAACCAAACCCCCAATTCTGGTTCTCCTGACTTGCACTTGTTCAACAAATTCAAATAAAAAAACAACACTTACTTTAAGGTACTGTTCAGAGCAAAGAAAAGGTCCAAAAGCTAATCTAGTCCCTATCAACATCAACTGTCCCTCTCACCCAGTGGGACCCCAGCTTAAAATTAAGTCAGGCAACTGTCAGTCCTTTGTTCACCACTTAACGGGTCAAAGCCTGGGTCAAGATCTAATTCTCTTTTAATTTCCAAAACCATGTGACCAGTACAACCAACAAGTTTGTGAAAACTTCAGTACCACCAGCTCCCTACACTTGTACACCTTCACACCCACTCCTGCTACTCTTATCTCCTCTTCTGTGCTCCATTTGTACCCCACTGGGTTCCCAAGGTCTTTCTTCCCCTGGTCAAAACCTAAGCCCAGGGAGATACCTAATAAACTAACTTACACCAAAGTAGAAATGATTGATTAAATTTAAAGTGTTATCCTTCCTAAGGATATATGTATTTTAACAGAAGGAAAATGCCTTGAGCCAAAGTACTAAATCTCTGGTGGCATAATTTCCCACACCAATGTCAGTAGGTTAGTACTCTTTCTTTGGGATGGGGCTAAGTGGGAGAAGAGAGGAGAAGCAAGAAAAGGTCTTTCTGGTGACCTCTGGCCAGACAACCACGGTCAAAGTGTGTGTTCGTACTATCAATCCATCCAGGTCCAGGAAATATCCACATGAGTCTACTATAAACAATGCTAATCCCTTAAAATACCCAATCCCCCAAATCATAGAATACTTGGCTCTAAAGAAGTCAGCACCTTTCTCTTACTCACCTATATCACCATTCTACAAATATTGGCCTCATAAACCCTAGTCAGGAAGTACTCTCTCATATAGTCTTAAGGTTCATGGTCTCTCTATCCTTCCTGCTCCTCGCCACATAGCCCTTTGCTCTAGCATAAGCCTCTTTGCACCAGACCACCCACTGTCTTCAATCTAGGTCTCAGGTCACAAAGTATGGACTGAAAATTTGCTCACCCTAAGCACACCCAGACTTCCCAGCAAGTCCTGCTGCTTCCTTCATTTGCCATTTCCCAGAACATCGGAAAAGTGTCTTTGCAAGCCAGCTTTCTCCCACCTTTCTCTTCTTTGCTCTTCCTCAGGGTCCACTAATACCACGTTTCAACTCTTTGCTCCCCATATATTCTCCACACACACCTTCTTCTCCCCACAACTCCTTCCTTCACAGCCACCCAGTCTGATTTGCTGCATCAGTCATGTGGACAAGGTCCTTTGCCTTCTTCTTCCAGATGTGTCCCTGAACTACAGAACAGTTTTAGGAAGTGTCCTTGACCTGGGACTAGTCCTGGTAACTAAAAAAAAAGAATGTAAAGTGCTGTCTCCCAATTATCTGTTGGGGTGGGAGAGTATGAACTCAAGGCTCTAGAATCTGGTCTATTACTCTGTGAGGAAACTTTTAACATGACACATTCCAACCTTCCTCACTCTGCCCAGGAGATTGCCTCAATTTTCTCACCAGCAAAATTTAGAGGTTGGACTACATGATGTCTAAGATTCTTTCCAGCTTTCGTATTCTTTGATGCCAACTGAAACTTAAATAGCCCGGTCCACAATAACAACACCCTTAGGCTTACACTCGTTTCACTTTTTTCCCTCCAAATTTCCCCCGTTAGTGCTGTCACCCGCACCGTCAAATCTCTCCCGGGCATGAGGATGAGCCTCCAGTGACCTCATGCTGATGAGTCAGCAAGTCTTTGCTCCAGGCTCTGCCATCAGCTTCGGGAAGGAGAGTTTACAAGGGCCTGGGCTGAGGGGTCTTTGACCCTTCCTCCCTCCCCACCCTCGCAGTTCTCTTTCCTCCAGTCTTCTTAAAAGGCCCTAACACACGGGAAGATGCTGACACAGACACCTGATGAATCAGCAGCTTTGTTCGGTCAAAGCTCTCTGCAACCACACTGTGCTATGGCCTTCCCCACCAACATGCGTGGGACTCACCTTCCCTGGCCCATCAGGGTCGGTCGGGGGAGGTCAGCCCTATCGAACCGCACCTCCGGCATTTACTCACGTACATTAGCACCCCCAGACAGGACTTAAGCGGGTCCGCATGCTCCGGTCCTCCTAGGACTGTGCAAACCGGACTCATCCCGCCCCCCATCATCGAGAACCGCCGAAACCCCGAACTCGGCTCCAAGGGGAAACCGAGGCACGGGGGCTTGGCTCCGTTGGCGGGCACGGCGCGGCTGGACGTGACGCCCATGGGCCCGGCCTTGCCCCCACCCCCGGGGCCCCGAGGGCGGCTCCCGGGTCGCCCCGCCCGGCTCCACCCCGGCGGCCCGGCTGGCCAGACCGCCCGGGTGCCCCGGCCACTTCCCCGCCCGCCCTGCCCTTGCCCGCCAGCAGCCCCGGGCCCGGGCCCGCCCTTCAACCCGCGCGGTACTCACCACACAGCGGGGCCGAGGCCCGGACCGGGCGGGCGGGGGGCAGGGGAGGAGGGAGGGAGGGAGGCCGGGCCCGGGCGGGCGGGCGGGCGGGCGGAGACTCGGACCCGGAACGGGACGGCGGGCTGGGCGGCGGCGCCGGGCCTGGGCTGCGCGGAGG